AAGACTGCAGCTTACAAAGTTCCCTAAGCTTTAACCCTAGTAAATATTCTAATGAATGGTCGGCATTCTAGGGCTCAGGTGAAAGCCAAGTGCCGGTGGGTTCCTGCCTTTTTGCCAAGAGATTTATGGTTAGCAGACAGCTCCAATGGCCTGGCCAACAAAATTATTTGTTGACGCTGTCCATTTATTATTTATGTTTTGCGGATGCAGACTGGGGGAAGGTGTCTCTGCCTCTCTGTCCATTCATAGAATGCCCACGGAGTAGTGGCCGAGTGTGAAAACGTGTTCAATGCCGGATTGCTTGCTGAGTTAAGCGAACAAATGTTCATTATTTATGGGTATTGGCCAACCCGGCAAATTCAATTATACAGATATTATCGCCAAATGGTAATTTATGCGCCAGTTTATCTAGCGATATTTCTTGGAAAAACTCTTTCACCTAAAGGCCACCCAATGAGGAACAAATTTCAAGTATCGTGAACATACTTTGTGGTATCTTACACTGCAATTTTGTACCCTTGAAGGGAAATTAAATGTTCTTCAATGAAAATAACATATCTAAATAATATCTACCTAAGAAAATATTAATTATACAAGATTTCTGCACCCTTTCTTGCTGGAAATTTTAACGAAAACATATAGAAAAATAAATTGTAAATTATAAAAATATAATGCGCTAATTTTCCAACTTTCCCCCAGTGCAGACACCTTACTTTATTCGTAATGAAACTCCCCCTCGACTATACTTTATCAACCTTAGTTAAGTGGCTTAAATTAGACACCTAGCGGGGGCCACTACTCACGGGACAAGAACGCGTATCTTGTAGATAGTTAGCCATAAAGCCCGGCGTCTGATTAATGTGCCATGTGCATAAAGGAAAGGTGTGAAAAATAGCTGATGGAGCTACCCAGCTACACAGGTGAACACAGGTAGAGGAGGCAACGAACCACTTGGATTTCCAAGAAGAACTCTTTCCTATTGATTTTTTCTGACGATTTCTGCGCTTTGGATTGCCAATTGCAATTTCCAGTAAATATTTATGCGGCCACTTTTCCATTTTACATCAATTTTTCCCCCTGACATCTTTATGACTCCCAGCCACGGACTCCTGTATATATTTTCCCGCATTTTTCAGCTCGGGAAAAAGACTGTGTGATTGACGCCAACCACAATTAGCTGTGGTCTTTTGAAGTGGCCAGAGAGATAAATGGAGCAGCAAACGATATGCATTGGGAGGTCTTGGGAAGTCTGCATTTAATAAACAAATTGGGAGCAGTGAGCAATTGTTGTGGCCCAATTGAAGGCAATGAATTATGGGCCTTTGATTCGATCGGAACTTGGAGCCAACGGCAGCAGCCGGATCCTGAGTCACTTTCAATACACAGCAAAGAAATTAGCTTGCTTTGGCAATATTTTTTGGAGATTTCTTATAATAATAAATACAAGACGGAAATTGTCAGGAGTAGGGAAAATACATATATGGAGAAGTGTGTAAAAAATAAGCTTACTATTGCAAAGGTTTTGTTTGGGTTTTAATTTGATTTTAAGAAGGGGTACTTTTTTTAGAAGATAAAAACTGAGATGAAATATAACAAAATTGATACTAAATTTATAAATATTTAGTTATTTAGTTCCAAAAAATATTCGTTTTTAGTTCAAACTGATTTTTTAAATATTTTACTTTGATTTAACACTTTTTAATACAAAAATTCTGATAGAAATAATGCCTAAAATTGTTCGTATATTAATGATGAATTAATAAAAATGTTACTTTTAATTTTAAATATTTTTTTTCTACTATTTTCATCTATGTTTATATTTTATTTAATTTTAAACACACATTTCCCTTGGTTTTTATTTATTTTGAGTCTTATAACCTACCTTAAATTGTATTTATTAAATAAAACCTTTTCTTATTAACCAAATACCGATTTCTTACACATTTCTTTCTGTGCTTTTATTTACCAAAATTTCGTAGCTGGTCAAGAAACTTGAGGAAGAACCGGTTTAAGAAAGTCATCGTGTCAGATACAACCAACAACAATCTCCCAAAAAATGAGCTGTCCCCTTGGCAAACACAAACGAATTGATAACTTTTCTTTGCTTTTTTCACCTTCTCTCAAAAGTTTACTAGAAAACTCGGTATGAGTAAGATCCTACGATATACCATTAATATTTCTGAGCCTCTTACGCAGTCTACAGTTAACCGCAGCAGCTTAGCAACAACAACGGCAAGAAAAACCATAACAATATACAGTCACGATCGGGCGGATGAATCACGATTTTGAATACCTGGGTAAAGATACACCTTTTGGTGTTTGCAGTCTCGTTATACTTAGAATGCCGTTGACGTATTCAACTCCATGGCCGGCTCCATGTGTGTGTTGTGTGCGTGTTTTACACTTATCAATGAATGCTTTGGGGCTTTGATAATAACACCAACACAAACGACACAGGCACTTATACTGGCAAAAGGTCACTGATAATACACACAATCAATATATAGCAGGTATTAAATACATATAGGATAGGCAGCGACTTTTTCGGGTTGTTTTAAATTGCATTGAATTGAGCAACTAGCAGCATTGACACAAACACAAAACACTCACAACACACAATCAGAATTGATTCGAATTCGGTTTGAACAATTTCAATATCACTGAAAGGCAGTTCGATGCTTTCGGGGCCTGTCCACCTGTGGATGTGTTTGTATGGGTTATTTTACCCATAAATTCGTACAGGTATGGGTTCTCTCATCGAATGTATATTTTAACATTCAATTGTATTATTTAGCACCTTTCGATGGCTCACTTGTTTATGGGTTTTGCACTCTTTATTTACGGTATATATTATATTTTATTCTTATTTTAATTTATATTTTATGTATTTTTATAAACTCTTACGTTGTTGATTTTTCGTTTAGCACTTTCTGTTGATATCTTACTTTTTTTTAAACAATAAATAGCAAAACAAACTGCGTCGTCGGCAAAGTTTGAACAGTTTGGCTTTAATCGTTGGCTCTTAGCGCGTTTGGAGCCCGCGTATCTAGTATCTCAAAGATGTATCCGCTCTCACGTCTGAACACCTCGGAAAGTTAACATGGAATGTTATAATCTATGGACAGAGACGAGCTGTTGGCCGAGTTGCCAGCTCGTTGGAAAAGTTGAGAAATGCTGACAGATAGCGGTAAAATGAAGGCAGGGCTGCCAGACTGTATTTGGTGTACTAAAAGTTATAGCGGTAAATATTTAAAATGTGAGTCTAAATATATAAACAATATAAACTAATATAAAATAAATTAACAAATAGGAAAATAAATTAATTAAGAAATGAATACATAAAAAAAAAATAATATAAATAAATAAAATATGTAAATAAATTAGTACATAAATGAATAAATAAATAAATAAATAAAAATATTAAAAAATTAAATAAAAATATCATAAATAAAATATATATAATAAAATCCATTTTTTAATATGTTAAGGGCTTGTTCCTATGGCAGATATATTATTTTGTAGTGCAAAGTACAATAAAAAAATTAAAAAAAAGGGAAGCGAACTTTATTTAGTTCTCCCAATTCAGTTTTTCCCACCCATTAAATAAATATATTATTCCTATTTTATAGTATCTTTCCTTATAGAGAAAAACAACTTAATCAAATAACCCTCTTCCTTATCCCTTAATATAATTGTTTATTTAATTAAACTAATTAAAATGCATAGAAATCATAACGAATCCGATGCAGTTGACAACTAACAAGAGCGATGGCCAAGCTTATCAATTACAGTGAACAGATCTTTAAAGGACGAACGATGACAATTGAGCTTCGGCTTAAAAATAGTTTCGGGTGCAAACAACACACAAATTTCGATGGATCAAAAGCGAGATCAAACTCCATTCAAAAACACAGAAATTGCCATGTCCAAAGGCAATTAAAAACGCTTGAGCGGGTCTCGAAATTCCGGCGTTTGCTCCATTTTAGGTGGCTCTAATGGATGACCGTCTGCCCAGTTGGCGACCGGCAATCAATTGAGCCGAACGATCAGCGATCGGAGCAGTCAAGTACCGGTTAATGCGCAAATAATTGCGATTCCCGAAAAACGGAAAACGGGGTTACACCGAGATTTTCAATATAAATACGGCCAGAACCATCGAGGAGTGCCACCAAAAGTCATCTGGAGCACCCCGAACGAAATGCTGCGTGAGATCTGCTTTTTCCTTGTCAGCTGTGTGGCCTTCGAGGCTGCCTTGGCCTGTGTAAGTTGTGATTTTGTTTCCCAAAAAATAATTTATAATTATTATATAATCAATGCTTTTTCTAGAACGGCTACAAGGCCAAGCTGGTAAAGATGGAGAATTGTGCCGGCGAGGATGCCATCATGACCGTGGGCAGTGATTTCAGCCTCAAGCTAAACAAAAAATGCGAGCTGGTGCCCTCGGGCTGCATTATCAACAAGCCCTTCGGCACGGCGGTGGCCAAGTTCAAGGTCCAGAAGGATGGCATTGTGATGAAAGAGGGCAAGATGGATCTGTGCGCCGCCATTGATCAGGCCTCCTCCGAGGGCAAGGACTTGCTGAAACTCTTTGGAGCTCCCTCTTCCTGTCCCGTGGGCGAGGAGAAGGTCTGCGCCAATGATCACAAGGTGGACCTCACCAAGTACAAGGCCATGTTGGGCATGGCCCGTGGCCACCTCATCATCGATTCGGAGATCAAACATGACACTGTGTGTAGTTTTTAAAAATTATTTTATTATATTTATCTATTATTCCTGTTTAAATTTTCCAGGGCAAGTCCTGCTTCCATGCCGAGATCGAGCTCACCAAGAACTGAGAGCGGAGCTTGGTACCATCAACAGGAGCTGGGAAGGAGGTCCTTATGTTTATATTATGAGTCTTGCAAATTCACTTAGCTTGTAAATACGAATGCAATTCAAAAACTGGTAACTGGTGCGCACTTACAGAAAAAATAAACAAAAAATACCGAATGTAAATGAGCTAAGGGTTTTATTTTTATAATTTAATATACTTTTGCCTTTAATTCCCATAAGTTTGGTTATTAATTGAATATATATAGTTCAAGCGCCTTCCTCGATACAGGCAGGATTTTCCTTACCGCCTCAAGGCTTCTTATCCTTATCCCCCTCTGCTGCCTTCTTATCGTCTGTCGTCTTATCATTTGCTGCTGCCACCGGGATTGGCTTCTCAGTTGTGGGCTCGGGAGGAATATCCTTATTCATGAAGTACCAGCAGTCGTCGCGGCATTCTTTCAGCGAATAATATTCGTTCGTATTGTACATCCTGGAGCAGTTGGTGGTCACCTTGAAACCCAGAGAGAGAGAGAGGCAGAGAGCTTTCAGGGATATTGGTCAGAGAAGGAACAGCAAGCGCGACTCATCACCTGGACGCAGTCGGATATGATGCGGTGAAAGGTATAAAAGTAACGGCGAGGGGAATGACAGGCACTCTCATGCGGGTAAAAGTGGTGGATCAAACAGTTGTCGTCCCGCACTGGACGGGGAGGGCAGAAGGAGCAGAAGCAGGAGTTAATCCGTAGCCACATCCTTAATGGTGTAACTAGCTCTTACCACGTTTGATGAATCCCTGCCCGAGAGTGCAATAGAGGGCGAGCCACAGCAACAGCTTCATGGCGAATCTCGCGATCAACTAAAGGCTTGCCCAGCTAAAAACCTAGTCTTAATATAGTCTTAATAGTCTCCACAACACCCTAAACTGACGGCACTTGTAAAGTGAAATGGGTTCACACATCAGTGCCATAGTTACTTATTATTTAATTGAAAATTAAATACAAAAAGGTAGCAATACCCGAAAGCAGTGCACTAAGCTTGACCAACTTATGGATGCCTTTGCAAGTGATGGGGTTCGATCGAACTCAGATCATACTGCTTCAATGTGATCGATTTGTTCGATTCAACACGATCTACTGCCGAAATTTAAAATATTTTAAGAAAACTATAACCAAAACAATTATCCATGCGCGATGTGGTAGAAGAGGAGAACGAACCACAGTAACTTCAGTGGCTTCATGGCGAATCCCGGGATCAACTGAAGGTTTTACAGCCGAGAGGTAATGCTACTTAGTCTTAATTTCTTTATAACAACATTTGAAAGGCTCTTCGACAAGAAAAGGAAACTTTTATCCTAAAATAACTACAACTAAAACAAAGATTAGAAAAAAACCAACCCCTCTTCTATTAGTAATATTCTCTTTATATATTTCGTGTATACAATTTGTAACATTCCACAACACACTTTTCTGGCTTACAAATAGGTTTCAGAAACAGTAAAAACTTAGAGGTTAGCAAAGGTAGTGTAGTTAAGGTAAGGAAGCGGTTCATATTCAAGGTTATCGAAGACCATCCAACGTCTAGGGCAGAGTTTGCAGGGCTACTCCTTCATCTCCGGCCACATCTTCAGCAGATTCCCGAGAAGCTATAGTCAAACTCGGCGTTCTTCTCGTTCAGGCGTCCCAAGTACTGCGAGTGCTTGATCCCAAAGCTGTAGGCGGGCACATGTGAGAGGTTTATCTGGAGTCAAAAATCATATAAAACACTGAGTTAAACCTCGAGTTTTGACTATGAACAATTAAATTTAATCTCTAAATTTGCTGGATATATAAATTTCAGAAATTGCCGAAGGCCCGATCTGGCCGGTTCTCCCATAGGATTCGATTGCAGGTCGGGGAAACAGTGTGAATCCTGTCTGCACGACAGTAAGGCGAGTGCCGGATGCCCATGGACAAGGCTGGGGGTGAACGCTGCTCCCAGTACTGTGGGCGGAGGTTTAGTTGGTTATAAAAAAAAACAAGAAAGAAAGCTATCTTTTGCCAGCTAAAGTTTGTATACCCTTGCAGGTAACAATTAAAATATATCATAACTAAGCCAAAAATGCATTAATTTCGATTCGGAAAGCAGTTTTGTGTTAGTTTTTATTCATTTAAAAAAACTGCATACCAAATTTAAAATTTTAAGAAATCAAAATGTTAGGCCATTTTTGCAAATTTTAATGATGTAACCCCTTATAAAATTTTGCAAAAATGGCAAAAAAATCGAGATCTTCCTGACATATCTAGAAAGATTCCCCTGTTGATGCTGATCAAGAATATATATACTTTATAGGGTCGGAAACGTCTCCTTCACTGCGTTGCAAACTTTTGACTGAAATTATAATACCCTGCAAGGGTATAAAAATAACTTAAAATTCTAAAAAATATTTATATAGTTTTTCCATTTAATTATAAAAAATAAAAGATTAGACACAACACCCTCACCTTCTCCGGACAATGGGCACCGGGTCCGGGCTTGGCATCCTCGCTGCCCATCTTGTACTTGCCGCGCATCGAGTAGACCGGCGGCTTGGGCTTCACCGCAGTGTATTCGCCATCGTAGTAGCCGGGTCCGGGGAAGATCATGACCGGAATCAGAGGCGGCTTCTCGCGTCCCGTGATCGTGTAGGCCGGAGCCGAGCGGATCTTGCCCTCCTTGCTGCTGCCCATGACGGTGGGTATCTTGTAGACGTTAGGAGCTGTGTGTTTGGGAGATGGAAAGGGTTAATATCTTTATATAAAGTATTTATTTTTATATTTTCTGGTTAGGAAAATGGTTAGTTCAAGGGCTGATCTCTGGGGCTTGGTGTTTGAGTATGATTCGGGTTAGTTTCGGTTTTCGGTTTGGCTTGAAATGAAGTTTGCCTGCAAAAAAAAAGGGATACAGGGGACAAGGAAGTACCAGGAGGCTCAATGAGGTTAAAGGCTTTTAATTAAATAAATTTAAATAAATCTTAGGGTTACCTGATGATCTTCTCCTGCACGCTGCTTGCCTCCACAGCATACTTGACTGTCCGCATTTTGGTGGACTGGCCACTGGTCACGATGGCGCCATCCGGCTGGACTATTCTCTGGTGACTGACCGCCGCCGCCTTGGTGGCACTCGCATCCGACTTACCGCTGGCCATCACCTTAAGGTTGGCACTCTCCTGTTGGCCGTGGGAAACCTGCTGTACTCGTGTGGAGGTGGTGGTGGTGGTGCTAACGGCCTGGGAGTGATTGCCATTGCTCAGTGCAGGTGCGGGCAGTGGCTCCTTGTGGGTGCCATTCACCTGCTTGGAGGTGGAGCTGTGTGTTTGCTGCAGCTCCGGCTGCTCTACACCATTGATAAAGGTTTTCTTGGTCGTTGTGGTGGTTGTGGTGGTCGTGCATTCAGCATTGTTGCGTACTAAGTGGGGATTTTTTTGTAGAATAAATTATATGAAGAGAAAGGCAAATATAGGCGAAAATAATTGACAATGCATTGCAGAACAAAATATAAACAAAGCAAATTAAGCACAGTAAGCGTTTCAAATGGATCAGAAACTAGGTTAAAGAGATTTATAATGGGAAGATGTCCAGTTTGGGTTCTGTTTAACTTGAAGTTTCGTCGCAAACTCGTCGAAAAGCCTTTAGGGAATTGAAAAATAGGTTTTTCGGGAATCTCTGATAATATAATATAATGTAATTTTCTAAAATTATCTAATATTGGCTAATATTTTCGAATATTTGTTTAATAAAAACTCCACCATTAAAAATCATAGATATGCGCGTTTAATTCCCACAAATTTGGTTAATTAAAATTTTAAGAATAAAAAGCATGAGGTGTCCAAATAAAAGAAAGTACAACAAGTCCTTCCATTTACTCAGCCACCATTTACTGTTTAATCCAGGCCACGTTTATTTAGCAGCAGGTGCCTCGGCTTCCGCGGCTTCACCTCCTTCAGCGCCTGCCGCAGGAGGAGCTTCTTCACCGCCTGCCACAGCAGGAGCTTCTGCGGCGCCTGCAGCGGCAGTAGCTTCCGCCCCTTCCTTATTTTGGCCACCTGCCGCTTCTTTTCCTTGAGCCGGCGTAGGTGTCGGAATTTGCATGTGGTACGCGCAGTCGTCGCGGCAATCCTGCAGCGATTCATATTCGTTCCAAGGGTACATCCTCGGGCAGTTGCTGATCACCTTGAGGGAAAATCAGAGAGATTTCAGGGATTTCAATCAGAGAAGGGTCTGCAAAGGCGCCTCATCACCTGGACGCAGTCGAAGATGCTGCGGTGGAAGACGTAAAAGACACGGCGTGGCGAGTGGCAGGACAACTCATGCTTGTACTTATTCCGGATCAAGCAGCCGTGATTCGGTCCTACACAAAGAGGAAGGGAATCAGGAGGAGGAGTGAATCTGAGGCCAGATGATGAACTAGCTCTTACTGCGTCTGGCTAAACCCTGCACGATATGGTAGTAGAGGACGAGGAACAGTAACTCCAGTAGCTTCATGGCGAATCTCACAATCAACTGAAGGTTTTACAGCCGAACGCAAATGCTATTTAGTCTTAATTTCCTTATAATCTCTACAAGACCCTGAACTAACCACATTTGAAACGCTTTGAGGCATAAAATCTAAGAGTAGATGATGGGAATGCGTGACTTGTGATCTCTTACCGGGACTGGCCAGGCGGCGTTCGCGTCTCTGGACAATGCGATCTTCGATGTACGCGCCTTTGGGTTCTAGTGAGTCGGGGGGTGGTGAGTATTTACAGAGATTCGGATGAGGGCATGGCCATAACACCAAGGGATGTGTGCAAACCAAACATGGAATAGTCCAAAAACACAAAAAACACAAAAACGACAACAATCGTACAGAACACTTAAGCCGGCCCGGCACCAAGGCAAGCGGGGTCGTCACCTACCTGGAAGCGAGGGAATCGGTGCCGTCTTCAGGCCAAAGCTATACGCTGGCGAGCTGTCCAGCCTGCACTGCTCGGGATGATAGTGACCCGGGGCTGGGAGCCGGGAATAAACAAACAAAGCGGGCAACATGCAACATGCAGCACTACCAAAGGGGAGAGGCAAGCCTTACCTGGTGCATCGGTGGTCACCCGCAACTGCGACTTGGTGCCAAAGGTGTAGGCGGGCGTGGAGTGCAGAGTGTGTTTTTCCGGCTCGTACGCGGACGGTGCTACAATTGTGAACATTGAATCGTGAGGTTATATAAGGAATATCCCTTCCCTAGAATAGCTTAGAGCGCTCTAAAACTTGCCTGGAGTATCGGAGACCTGCTCCCGTCCCAGCCGCATGCCGAAGGTAAACGCTGGCGTGCTGCGGTCCACCAGGCACTGCTCCGGATGGTAGTCGCACGGAGCCGGAGTCTGGCTAAGGATCTCCGCGGCCGGACGACCTGCAATGGTGTATGCGGGTGTATGGTCGAGACGAACTCTCTCGGGGGCGTAGTCGCAGGGCGCGGGATGGAGATGATCCGCCTTGGGGTCGTGCTTGCCACCAAAGCTGAAAGCGGGTGCTCGGTCCAGTTGCACCTTTTCCGGCGAGTAGTCTCCTGGAGCGGGGGTCTCGCTGGGCTTGTGCGGGTCGTGGCGGCCAGCGAAGGAGAAGGCGGGATTGTGATCTTGCCTGACTTTCTCGGGGTGGTAATCTCCGGGAGCTGGATTACTATTTTCAACCTTGGTGTCGTACTTGCCGCCAAAAGTGTAAGCAATGGTATGGTCCAAGCGAACCTTCTCGGGGCAGTAGTCGCCGGGCGCAGGAGTGTCATGGGACACCTTGGGATCGTGCTTGCCTGCCATTGAGAATGCAGGATTGTGATCCTGCCTGACCTTTTCGGGTGAGTATGCTCCAGGAGCAGGAGTATCACTTGGCTTAGAATGATCATGACGACCGGCGAAAGAGAAGGCGGGATTGTGGTCCTGTCTAACCTTTTCTGGGTGATAATCTCCGGGCGCAGGTGTATTGCTTTCTGTTTTGGTATCATATTTTCCGCCAAAAGTGTATGCAATGGTGTGATCCAAGCGAACCTTCTCGGGGCAGTAGTCGCCAGGTGCAGGAGTGTCGTTAGAGACCTTGGGATCGTGCTTTCCAGCCATTGAGAATGCAGGATTGTGATCCTGCCTGACCTTTTCAGGAGAGTAAGCTCCAGGAGCAGGAGTATCACTTGGTTTAGAATGATCATGGCGACCGGCGAAGGAGAAGGCGGGATTGTGGTCTTGTCTAACCTTTTCTGGGTGATAATCTCCGGGGGCAGGGCTATTATTTTCCACCTTGGGATCATATTTTCCGCCAAAAGTGTAAGCAATGGTATGATCCAAGCGAACCTTCTCGGGGCAATAGTCGCCGGGAGCAGGTGTGTCATTGGAGACCTTGGGATCGTGCTTTCCAGCCATTGAGAATGCAGGATTGTGATCCTGCCTGACCTTTTCGGGAGAGTATGCTCCAGGAGCAGGAGTATCACTTGGCTTAGAATGATCATGACGACTGGCGAAAGAGAAGGCGGGATTGTGGTCCTGTCTGACTCTCTCGGGACAGTAGTCTCCAGGAGCTGGAGTACCATTTACTATCTTCTCGATATGTTTTCCTGCCATAGAAAAGGCGGGGTTATGATCTTGTCTGACCTTCTCAGGGGAATAAGCTCCAGGAGCAGGAGTATCACTTGGCTTAGAATGATCATGACGACCGGCAAATGAGAAGGCGGGATTATGGTCTTGTCTGACCTTTTCTGGGTGATAATCTCCGGGCGCAGGTGTATTATTTTCCACCTTGGGAACATATTTTCCCCCAAAAGTGTAAGCAATGGTATGGTCTAAGCGAACCTTCTCAGGGCAGTAGTCGCCGGGCGCAGGAGTGTCGTTAGAGACCTTGGGATCGTGCTTGCCAGCCATTGAGAATGCAGGATTGTGATCCTGCCTGACCTTTTCGGGAGAGTATGCTCCAGGAGCAGGAGTATCACTTGGCTTAGAATGATCATGACGACTGGCGAAAGAGAAGGCGGGATTGTGGTCCTGTCTGACTCTCTCGGGACAGTAGTCTCCAGGAGCTGGAGTACCATTTACTATCTTCTCGATATGTTTTCCTGCCATAGAAAAGGCGGGGTTATGATCTTGTCTGACCTTCTCAGGGGAATAAGCTCCAGGAGCAGGAGTATCACTTGGCTTAGAATGATCATGACGACCGGCAAATGAGAAGGCGGGATTATGGTCTTGTCTGACCTTTTCTGGGTGATAATCTCCGGGCGCAGGTGTATTATTTTCCACCTTGGGAACATATTTTCCCCCAAAAGTGTAAGCAATGGTATGGTCTAAGCGAACCTTCTCAGGGCAGTAGTCGCCGGGCGCAGGAGTGTCGTTAGAGACCTTGGGATCGTGCTTGCCAGCCATTGAGAACGCAGGATTGTGATCCTGCCTGACCTTTTCAGGTGAATATGCTCCGGGAGCAGGTGTATCACTTGGTTTAGAATGATCATGACGACCGGCGAAAGAGAAGGCGGGATTGTGGTCCTGTCTGACTCTCTCGGGACAGTAGTCTCCAGGAGCTGGAGTACCATTTACTATCTTCTCGATATGTTTTCCTGCCATAGAAAAGGCGGGGTTATGATCTTGTCTGACCTTCTCAGGGGAATAAGCTCCAGGAGCAGGAGTATCACTTGGCTTAGAATGATCATGACGACCGGCAAATGAGAAGGCGGGATTATGGTCTTGTCTGACCTTTTCTGGGTGATAATCTCCGGGCGCAGGTGTATTATTTTCCACCTTGGGAACATATTTTCCCCCAAAAGTGTAAGCAATGGTATGGTCTAAGCGAACCTTCTCAGGGCAGTAGTCGCCGGGCGCAGGAGTGTCGTTAGAGACCTTGGGATCGTGCTTGCCAGCCATTGAGAATGCAGGATTGTGATCCTGCCTGACCTTTTCGGGAGAGTATGCTCCAGGAGCAGGAGTATCACTTGGCTTAGAATGATCATGACGACTGGCGAAAGAGAAGGCGGGATTGTGGTCCTGTCTGACTCTCTCGGGACAGTAGTCTCCAGGAGCTGGAGTACCATTTACTATCTTCTCGATATGTTTTCCTGCCATAGAAAAGGCGGGGTTATGATCTTGTCTGACCTTCTCAGGGGAATAAGCTCCAGGAGCAGGAGTATCACTTGGCTTAGAATGATCATGACGACCGGCAAATGAGAAGGCGGGATTGTGGTCTTGCCTAACCTTTTCTGGGTGATAATCTCCGGGCGCAGGTGTATTGCTTTCTGTCTTGGCATCATATTTTCCCCCAAAAGTGTAAGCAATGGTGTGATCCAAGCGAACCTTCTCAGGGCAGTAATCGCCGGGAGCAGGTATATCATTGGAGACTTTGGGATCGTGCTTGCCAGCCATTGAGAACGCAGGATTGTGATCTTGTCTGATTTTCTCAGGAGAGTAAGCTCCAGGAGCAGGAGTATCACTTGGCTTAGAATGATCATGACGACCGGCAAATGAGAAGGCAGGATTATGGTCTTGCCTAACCTTTTCTGGGTGATAATCTCCGGGAGCAGGGGTACTGTTCTCCACCTTTGGATCATTCTTGCCCCCAAATGAATAGGCGGGAGTATGGTCTAGTCGCACTTTCTCGGGACAGTAGTCACCGGGAGCTGGTGTGTCACTCGAGATCTTTTGCATGTGCTTTCCCGCCATCGAGAAAGCAGGATTGTGATCTTGCCTAACCTTTTCGGGGCTGTAAGCTCCAGGAGCAGGAGTAATGTCTGGCTTCTGGTGATCATGGCGACCGGCAAACGAGAAGGCGGGATTGTGGTCCTGCCGCACCTTCTCCGTGTCGTACGCCCCGGGAGCTGGTGTGTCGCTTGTCTTGTGCAGTTCGTGGCGACCGGCGAATGAGAAAGCGGGGTTGTGATCGTGCCGTACTCGTTCGGGACGATAGTCTCCCGGTGCCGGAGTGGAGCTCTCGAGCCGCTGCTCGTGCTTACCGCCGAAGGTGAAGGCCGGCGTGTTGTCAAAGCGGTACTTCTCCGGGGCATACGAACCGGGAGCAGGGGTCTCGCTCGAGGTCTTCGTCTCGGGACGGCCGGCCAGGGTAAAGGCTGGCGTATGATCCAGCCGCACCTTCTCGGGCTGATAGGTGCCCGGTGCCGGGGTGTCGCTGGCCTTAACGAGCTCCACGCGATGGCCGAAGCTAAAAGCAGGAGTCCTGCCCAGCAGGCACTTTTCGGGTTCGTATGCGCCGGGAGCTGGAATAGATAGTGGGTATGGATTGTGTGAGAGACGGGTGAGATCAGGTGAATGCTCTAAACTAGGTGCAATCTTTTCTTTGATTTTACCCACCTGGTGTGCAATCGACAACGTCATGCGAGGCCTTTCCTGCAATTGTGTAAGCGGGTGTCGAGTGTAGCCGTGATTTTTCTGGGCTGTAAGCACCGGGTGCTAACAAATATAATCAAAAATAACCAAAAAAGTGTTTAGAAAATGAGGAAACTAGTCAAAAGCTGTTAGGACCCTCACCTGGCGTGTCGCTGACCTGAATGTGTTTGGTTTTCAGGCCGAAGCTGTAGGCGGGCATGTGTTCTAGAACAACCTGTTCGGGTTTGTAGGTGCCCGGCGCTAAAAGGTGTGGCCAAAATAATACAAGAAAAATCACAAAGCAACTATTATTTGTGCCTTAAACTACATAGAAAGTCTTAAACAACTTTTAAAAAAATATGTATGACTTACCTGGCGTATAGTCCGGCCGCTGTTCGTGATGCTTGATGCCAAAGCTAAACTCCGGCGTCTTGCTAAGCTTCACCTTCTCGGGGCAATAGGCGCCAGGAGCTGTGAAGGGTACAGAGATCGGCATTAGGTTATCCTTTAAGGACTCGAGGAAAGGAGGAACGGAAAAGCGCAACAATTCTCTATGGATAAATACTGTCCAATTGGGATCGCTTGAGATGGATTGGTGCCTCAATACAGATACGATTACAGTTACTTTGTTTGGGGGGGGTTGAGAGATATCATATGGGGAATATTACCTGGTGTGCCCTGATCGTGTTGGATTTTAGTTCGTCTACCGAAAGTGTAGCGTGGCGCATTCTTTTTTGATTGCGTGACCTTTTCAGGGCAATAGCTATTCGGAGCTGTTAGTGTTAATAAAACATAAAAAGTTGGTACGGCCGTTTTAGACTAGAGAGAACTACTAAACTAGAGATCTACAAGACTAGGTGAGCTACGACTAAGGGTGAGCTAGAGTAAGAGCATAAGATACAGATACAGATACAGAGAGGTATTCGGAAGATAGATAGTTAGTGATGGGTGTGTTGAGAAGTTAGTCAGAGGCTAAGAAAAGGGCCAACACCGGAACGCAACAGTTAGTTGGGTTACCTGGATTGTTAACAATGTACACGTTAACCTTAATGCGAAAGGAATACCGTGGTGCTCGCCGCTTGACCACATCAAGAGGCACCACACGATAATGGTTGGGACCTGAGTTTTGGTTTCATTCATTTGAAAGAGAAAAACGTCACAAATTAAAATCGAATCAACGCAAACAAAAGCATAAACACAAAACAAATTACTGAAACGCTTAGGGAACACATATATATTTTTGTTTATATATACAAACACAGTGTCGTAAGAGCTAATAATCAAAGGAAATGGAACAAAAAGAACATAAATAAAGTTATGAAGATAAGATATAAAGATAATATATACAATATAATATAACTAAATCTACTAAATTTGCCAAAATCTCTACAAAGTAAAACTTCATATAAATAATCCTTCACTTTAATTTATTTTTATAATCCCTTTCAATTTGTAAACCCTATAAAAATAATAACTAAACACTAAGTATACATTTTCTTGTGATAACTACTATCCATACAAAAGATATCCAAAGGATACGGACAAGGATACAGAGATAGAAATAGAAATCTACTCAAGCAGTTACTTCTACAAAAGCTACCGAGTTAGAAGTCTGAAGAAGGGAAATAATTATGAAAGAAGAGGTCTAGGCAACTTACGCGCTGCCTGAAGATGAGGTTACACAACTGGCACATGGTTTCAGATGGGTTAATGAGTCGCTTCTATGTACAAGGATGCTCCATGATTGATGAACCTTCTCCACTTGCCCCATCCGCGCATGCAACAAACACCGAAAGCCCAAAACTCGTAACTTCAAATCCAAAAACTCCAACCAATCCAAGTCCAAAAACACCATTCAAACACCACCAGAGATGGAGAGGGGAATATGGGGGAAGTAGCTCCCACTCACCTGGGATCTGGAACTGCTTGAGGCTGGCCGGTTTCTGGCCAAAGGTGTACTTGGGCGTGGCATCGATCACCGCTTTGGCCGCCGGCACCACATCATACTCCCCGGGGCCGGGATTGGAGAAACGCGACAGCTCCTTGGGTCGACTCTGGAGGGTGGCCGCTCGGGGATAGTCTCGTCCCTTGGACCGCAGACCCGTTACATTGTATTGGGCTGGACCAGGACCAAAGGTCTCGTATTTGCCGCCCAACTTGTGACCAAAGGAGTAGGAGGGTGCTGCCTTCTTCTTGGAGTCGGGCACCTTGCTGCCTGCAAACTGGAGTTTAGAGGGAACTCTGAAAGAATGTGGTTAACACTCACCAATCAATGTTGGCAGCTGAACAATAGCTGGACCAGGATTGGTGCTCTCGGCTGCTATCTTGCCTATGCGAACCGTTGGTGTCCAGGGACGCTGCTCCACGTTGCCGCCCATGCTTAAAGGTCTTATGTTTCGAACCCGAGCACAAGGTACCTGCTCCTTTTGGTTCTTCCCAAGGCCGTCCTAAAAAGAAGTCAACATCAGTGGATATCTTAGTAATAAATCCCAGGCCAGAACCTTCATCATCCTGCCGTGATATTCAAGGTTAGGTAATTATTTTCCCCGTAAAATGAAATAAACTCTCTAGGCTGACATCTACACGTGTGAATGACTGATGTATGTATATATAAAAGTCTATAGTTGAACCTCCAAATTTGGGTAACCTAATAATCCAAATTCCGCCCTACTCCAACTGCCAGTCGATGACACAAAAATCAATCGTCTGGGTAATGTTTCGAATTTTCTGGGCCAATTCCGTGAGGTGGCTAATAGACTCAGGTGTGTAAGCTAACCGACATGCATGGAAAGCCCCTAAAGGAAGGCGGTGTCGGCTGTCACTCTGCCGCTGCTGTATTGCAGTGTAGCTCGTTTCTTTGGGCACCTCTTTGTTACCTGCTTTTCGTTGGCTTTTTCAAGCTTTTGGCGTGAAAGACAAACAACGGCAATAACTTTGCGGTAGGCTTCGTCAGTGTCTCACTTGTGGCAGCAGTGGCAGGGCAACCCCCCCAACAAGGCCCTAAACTAATTTAGGAGAAATTACCATTTAGCACGGAGGGTTGAGCATTCATGTTTTCCTCGCTCTCTCGCTCTCAATTCGTGGCTTATAATGTTTAATTTATAATGGTATAAATTGAACATTTCATGTCCTGTCTGACAACTTTTTGGTATTATAATATTTTGAAACAGTTATGGTTTCGAAATCAATTAAAATTCTATACTGAATTTGACATATTCAACTATATTTAGGAAAAGATATTGTTATACGTTTTAAAACTACTTAAAAATCGGTATATTTTTGTTCCTTTTTCTAAAATTTTAATTAGGTTTTGCACCAATACGTATACATCATATTTTGGTATAATTAATTACTAAAATAATACAACATAGCCAGATGAGCATTTCTAATGCTATTGAAATGGCTTTGTGTCCCAATAATGCAACATAGCCAGATGATTAAGGCAAGACAGCGTTGAACAGTTGAAGTAAAACTGTTATAAACTGTTCTAATTAATAATCGAACAAATTTTAGTAAAGAATTTGAACTGCCATAAGTCTTCCTTCAGCAATAACAAACGCAAACAAATTGTACGTTTCCAAGCTTATAAATTTGCAAAATCCCCAAAAGTATGCAATATTTTATAATTTTCTGCAGGTAATTAGCAGCCGGCGGAAGTGCTTTTGCATAGCATAGTTTTACGCTGAATTCAGTATCCGTTTTAACGCCATTTTTAAATTTCAGCCATTTTTAGCAGATTCTGAAAACATTACGTATACGCCTTGGTGCACGTATTTGAAATTAAAAAAAAAATAACAGTTTACTGCAAAGAAGAATTATTTTTCTTTCATGGACATGGGAATACCAATTATGAAGGAATTTTATATGTATTTAAATGTAATGCTTTCTCCAAACCTGCAAGTTTTCCCCCAAAAACCCAACATAAGACTTATCAGAAATATATATTCCAACTATTTAACCAAGCGTTGTGTATAATAAATATTTTTATGTGCGAGACCCCCCTCAACAACATTCCTATTCCGCCCGAGGCCCTGCTGCCCTGGGCGACGACCTTCTTTTCACAGCTCAACGCAGGCTATGACACGACTTCCACAAAGTGTTGGCCCATCGACAGGCTCAAACAGCCGGTGCCGGCTGGTATCAGGATCAGCAGGAGGAGCCCAGCTCGCTCTGGTAACTATCTGCCAGTGTAATCGATATGGGGTGGGCTCTCGGCTCTGATTTAAATACGGATTTCGGGAGGGGGGCTAGAAAAAGAAATTATAGGCCTGGTCAACAAGGTTGCGCCCCGAAACGAAACGAAACGAAGTATGCCAAGTGCTAAATATGTTGGCCATTTTGTGGGGCATGTTAGCCAACAAAACGATTACTTTTAATGACTTATGACCGACAATTGCATGACGGATGGGGGAAAGAGGGAAAAACCTAAACTCGCAGCCCAAACAAAAACAAACTCCAACTCGAAAAGAAAGGTGAAGCGTGCCACTTGTGATGGCCGTGAAAATTCGCCTGGCTGTGTGTAAATAATTACAACAATGTTTTTTTGGGGGCGTAACCTGGGCTGTTAACAGGGCCAATGAAGCCGTTGCTTTGGGTTTTCTTCCCCTAGCACCTGCCACTTTCAACTGCCGACGTCCTGACCTCGCATGCAATTCGCCATAAGGCACCGTCACTGTTCTGTTCTGCTTTAGACTTGCCATATAGGGAGGCTCTTACATCACCATTCCGGCCGATTGGCACCCACACTCATCGGGCTTAATATCATCATAATGTTCAATTGCTGTTCGAGGCCAAGATCAGCCAGGGAAATGCCATGAATCACAGCCACTGGCTGGCAGCTGAAAGCCAACACAGAAGTCAGACATCTGTCAGACATTGGGGAGATCTCTCAGACCAAGACTGTTTGCTGCCAGCCCACGGACTTGTTATAAGCACATGATGATGAAAAACAGCTTAAAATAATAAAGTTGATATTGAAATAGAGATTACCATTTAAATGTTTAGGTGTAGTTTTTATTAAAAAATTAATAAAAGCCTAAAAAGAATTTAAGAAAATATTAAACTTATTTTTAGAGCCCTTTTGTTAGGTGAAGTTTGAAATAAAGTAAAACTAAATATGAATAACGTTTCCGGATATAAAAATATTGGTAGTTTAATGGTAAAAGCTATATTTTTTGATAGTTAACACTGCCACCAAATATTTTCCCCAAGTGCAGCACTGCAACTCGAATGGCCTCTGGTAAGTCACCGGCTAAGAGGTCGCATTTAATCAAGTTAATAGAGCGTTAGTTGGTTGGCTCATGCAATAAATTTGCATGTGACGATCCGATTTCAGTAATCAAATTATAGATGGTGATGCTCGGATTATAATCTATGCACGGCTCGGGGGTCACTGAGAACCGATTAAACCGATAAAACCGGCTATAAAAGCAGAACAGCAACGCCCACACACACAATCTCTCTCTCTACAGGCTTCTCTGTTTTTCATATTCCTCAAAGATTATTTGCAAATCAAAAAACAAAACCTTGTTGTCGAGAGAGCATTTGTATTTAGAGAGATTTATTTAGAGATTTTTTGCACATTTGTCAGTGTTATCTTTGTGACCTTCACTACTGATTTGTTTATTTCGCTTTATTGTATTAATGTTTAGTCAGGGTATTACAACTTTAGTTAGAAGTTTGTAACTCAGTAAAAGAGTCATTTTCGAACCTATAAATTATATATATCGACTCGACTGTTGATGCTGATCAAGAGTATATAGGGTAGGAAATGTCTCCTTCACTGCGTTGCAAACTTCTGACTGAAATTAGAACACCCTGCAAGGGTATAAATATGAATACGAATTTTACTAAGTTTCATTGTCTGCCTGGCAAATAAAAGGCAAAATATGAGTACAATAGGCGTCATACATTTTACCATTATGCAAAACGACGCAGTTCTGCTCATGATTTTCGTCATTTGGTTCACCCGTACTCCACTTAAAAAATTGTGCGGGCTTGTCTGAGGCCACAGATACGAAGTGGCCCTCATTTTTACGATCATTAATGCCTATCCAATACCACTTATCTTTTCTAATTTTATCTAAAATGGCGTCAAATTCTTCTTTATTTCGAAAGGAGGCCAAGTAACCTCCCATCTCACGACACCTTCTCTCAGCAGTCTCCCAATTCGAATCTTCTTCTTCTACTATTCGGAAATACCTAGAACCAATTCGCTCGAATCCAAATGGTATTGCAATCGTGACTAAAGCCGGAACTCCCACCTTGGCATCTATCTTGTTTGACACAGCCTGCAGTTGATTTACAACAAGCTGAAGTTGGTTTTCAATATTTTTCTGCACCGCAAGAAGGCTTCCTTCAAGTTTAGCCTGGGAGTCCTTCAAATTGGTCAGTACCATCAGACTTTCTTCTAGTTTAGCCTCCATCTTGGTTTGTTGGCCCTCCAGTTTGGTTTGCACCTGAAGTTGCCTTTCCAGCTTAGCTTCCACTCCTTTCACCTCCAATGTCTCCAGCTTCGATTTAATTTCGTTGTCAGATTCACGGGTTTTCGTGTTCCCTTGGTTCTTGGCCTTGACGATTTCGCTAAGCCGTGGGCTCAGTTCAGTAAGACAAACGCTGTCGCACTGATTTTGTTTTGGATTCTCAATCAGGCAAATGTACCCCGACTGATCCTCTGCGAATGATCCTTGCCACAGGATACAGGCAGCTAGTGCCCAAAAGAAGGAGATTCCGAACTTGTGCATCCTTTTACTAGGAGATTGTTAGACCACGATGGATGAAAGTCTCTAAAGAACTGATTCCCGAAATATTCAAAGACTTTCGAAGAGGCATCGAGCTTAGGCTGGGATTGATAAGAGCCTTTATATATATACAGAAATATATAAAGAGGACGGCACTCGTGAAGGTCTACGTAAAATATGTATGGACTTATGTATGAAGAAGTATATAGTAAATATAAAAAATAATACACCACAAAAAAATAATCATTGATTAAGACATTATTTAAAATAATCTTAGTTTAAAAGCTATGCTAGATCAAATGACTTTATCTTTGCATATGATAAAAACTGCCATAGAAATTTCTGTTATATTTGTATACAAATCGAACCTAAATTCCATAGGTCTTCCTGAAGTGTTTTTTTATTTTATTTAGGGAAGCAGTCATTTCCGACCCTATAAACCATATATATTCTTGATCAGCATTAACAGGCGATTCTTTCTAGCTTTGTTCGGAAGAAATTTAATTTTGAGCCATTTTTGCAAAAAAATGAAAGGGGTTACATCATTAAAATTTGCAAAAATGGCCAAAAATGTTGATTTTCTACAATTTTAAATTTTGGATGCAGATCTATTAACATTATAAAAACAAACCCAGAACAGCTTTCAGAAATAAAATTAATGAATTTTTGGCAAAGTTATGATATTTTTAAGCTTTAGTTTTAACAAAAATTACCATATAAAATGTAATTTTATTTATTATTGGCTTTATATATTATTATTATTTATTATATATTTTGTATTTGTTAAATTATTATAATAATTAACTTAATAAAACTAGATCGAATAGTTTTCTGAGTTGCATTTGGCTAAGTTTTGTCATTTTTAAACTTTAATTTGTTCAAAAAATGGTCAACAAATATGAAAAATATCCATTAAAAATGTTGATATTTTTTGAGTCTTCTTGAAGGTTATTTTTATTTTATTTAGTGAAGCAGTCATTTCCGACCCTATAAACCATATATATTCTTGATCAGCATTAACAGGCGATTCTTTCTAGCTTTGTTCGGAAGAAATTTAATTTTGAGCCATTTTTGCAAAAAATTTTTTTATTTTTAAATAAAATTAAATTTAGTATGCAGATTTATTAACATTGTAAAAACTAACTCAAAACAGTTTTCCGAATTAAAATTAATGAATTTTTGGCGTAGTTATAGATTTTTTAAAATTGGAAAATTCAAGGGTATACACCTTTCGGCTTACCGATGTTGATTTCCCTTGTTGTTTTTATTTGATTTAAATTGATATTCACATACAATTGACCCGGGAGTGTGCACCCGTAATAACAACGACAACAACAGGAGCATCAAAAAACGTAGATTTAGCACACGTCAGCTTAAATTTGTAGTCTCAACTTTAAAAATATTAAATAAGCGTGGCATTTAGAGATATGAATCGAAGATTAAGTACTGTGTTGTTGGAAAAAACATTAATAATAATAAATAATACAAAATATTAATAGATAAATAAAGAACTAGTTGATAAATAAATATTAATAAATTAATATTAATTAACAAATAACAAGTTCATATCAACTGCCTCATAGTAAAAGTAAGCTTTATATAACAATTAATGTGGGTGTCTTTAATTAAACATGATTCATCAAAAAACCAAAAAACGTTTCAAATAAGACTTTGAAATTAAACCAATCAACTGTGAAAGGAAAAACATTCATTGTTAGAATGCCCAAAAAATAAATTATAAAATAGATTGGTTTCCTTTCTCAATTTGTGTTTAATTTAAAATTAAGACACTGTTACATAGAGACGTAAAATAATTATTTATAAAATAATAATACTGCTACTCAGAGAGTTTTAAATAATTCTCCATAAAATACAATCCAACTTAACTTTAAACCCCACCTAAAATCCATATACCCCTCTTTGTTTAACTAAATAGGGGGTATTTTCTAACATCATTAACAATCACGCTCGCCACACAAAACGTTTATATTTTTCTGTTTTATTTTCTCCTGACTTCATTTCACGCTCTCCTCGAAATGGCGAATTAAAAAAATATATATGAGCTCATTCCCAAAATTTAGACAATTTCCAACTGTCCGTCCATCTCGGTGACTTTTACGCCCAAATACGGCGGCTGTCTGTCTTTCTGTCTCTCTATTTCCTTTAGCCCACATCGAGTGGTCCGAAAAGAAGCCAGTTTGGAATTGGGTTTCCAGACGGCGGAACAACCCACGCAGAGAGCTGAAAACTCCATGACTTCACTATATATGTGTTGTCTCTATTAACTATTGCTTGCCCCGGGCCAAGTCAAGGTATATATGTATGTATAACTTTAATTAACAGCGAACAAGTTGTAACGATTCCTGGCCAAAAAAAGAGCAACCGGCAACATCAGAAATCGAAAAAGCACAGCCAAAACAAAGCAAAACGAACCCAACTTGGCTGATAAAAACACCGCCGAGACCAAAACCAAGACCAAGTCAACACACACCTGACGTCAGCTGGCTGAGTGAACTAGTTTGCGATCTCCAAATCTAATTAAGTTTGAGCAACATTCTCGAACGTGGCTTGGCTCGAGAAGAGCCGCAGAGAAAGCCAAGGGAAATGAGGCGGGAAAAATTGGCAAGAAGCCCTCCCTCCCATCTCTCTCGTTCTTTTTATTTACAACTGGAGCTCCTCTATGCTCGTTCTCAGGGCACTATTAAAATTCTAGAATGGATTTGTAATAATTAAGCGATTGTTAAGAGTTGTTTTTTTTTGCTTTGTTGGGAATATAATGGGACAACGCGTTTCCGCTTCAGCGATTTATGCGAAAGCTACGAGAAGATCTCGGAATTTGCATATTTAAATGTATAATTTAATAAATAAATAATAGTTTTTACTCTTGATGATAGCCTTTCTGGTAAGACAGCTTTTGGTTTAATTTATAAAATATATTATATGTTTTGTAAATAATATTTTAAAAGTAATATTTTGTACTCTTGATGATACACTTTCTTCTAAGCCAGATTTTTGATTAATTTATTAAAAAATATATCATTATTCATAAGGGAAAAATCTATTAGAACATTATTAAAAATTTCATATATATTTCCCAAAGAGGGTTTAACTTTTTTAATCACTTTTTAAATATTTCAAGAATATATTTGTTTATTTCTTCTATAAACGTAAAATCACTGTATAAATATTTTATTTATATTTTTTAAAGAGGTGGTCGTTTTTTGAAACTATTAATCATATTTAAAATATGAAATATTAACATAAAAGTGACCTTAAATATTAAATTTAAATTATTATTCTGCCTCGTACCCTTCTCTATCTTTCTTTTTAAGCTTATAGCTTTATAAATAATTATAAAAAATATAAAAACATGAAATAAACACCTGTTAAATAATTGTCTACATAAAATTAACCTACTTTAAAAACATAAAATAAACACCTGTTAATTAAATCTTCAAATACTTAACTATATTACCCCCAAGGCACTCTCTTCCTTTCCTTACCCCTTCCCTCCTCTTTAAATTTAATACATAAACACCTATTAGATCACATTTTAAATATTTACTATGACTTGAACTTCCCCTCCGGCTGATTACCTTTCCGCTTTAACCTTTTCTTTGGTTATTGTATTTATTTTGTGTGTGCTTAACGCTTTTTTTAGTGTGTGTTGTGACTTTGAAAAATGAGCTGAGCCGCAGTCTCGGGTCGAGCAAATACTGGTTATTAGAGCTGATGTCATGGGCTCTACGGTCGCAGAGAAGTATCAAAAACTCCGGCTGGAGACCTGCGGAAGGGTTACTCCAACAAGTGACATCAATACGCGGGGGGAGTGGGTGGCTGGGTGTCTCATTGACAAAACAAAGGCAGGAGTGCACCACAGCTGACTGGGGAGAAGCCCTTTGCCGCCAGGAAATGCCAATAGTCAGACGGATAGACAGACAGACAATACACAGTCAATGAACTTTGGGGTCGGGTCGGGTCGGGTCAGCCCCGCGACACGCAATCCTTAGACTTGGTTAACGCCTACTCCAGTTTTTATATCCTTACCTCAGGCTAATGCAATGTCAAGAGGTATATCTCTCTCTCTTCCTGCTCCTGGTTTCCCTATGGATTTTCGTTTGATTTTTCGTTGCACTGAGAAAAAAACTTCACTTTACAACAGTCCTTGTCGGGATTAGGAGCGATTTTTAGGGGTTTTGTAAACCATCTGTTCACTCGAAAAACACTCGAAGAGATTCGCTTGATTCGTTGTCGTGGCTGATTTATTATTTCGTTGATTTTTGTTCGTTCGTTGATTGGGTTCAAGTGACAGCCGCTCGACTCTATTACGGGGTTTCCAAAAAAACACACTTTTCTGATTTACTCGATTGAATTTGTTTTTGTTTTGGTTTTGGTTTTGTTTTGCCGCCGCGTTAGATTGCAGGTGATATTAGCTAGGTGACTGGAGGAGCTTGAACCGCACTCGAGGGCTGTCGTACAGAAACTGCCGGGCCAAAGTCGCTGGCGCTCGCTTTTTCGTTTCATTTTCGGCTACGTACCGAGGCAAAGACGTAACGTAAGCTTTTGCGTTGGCGTTAACAGCCGGTGGGGAGCCTAACAGGGGTGAGCTATGTTAAAAAGTGACTATTGGGGAATTGTAATGTTGGAATGGGTATTGGAATTGGAATACAAAATTTCAATTTAAATTGTAAAAATGTAAAAAGGTGGAATTTAAATTAAAATTGGAATAAAATTTTAATAGCGAATTGTAAATAAAATTATTTTAAAATTTGAAAAACTATGTAAAGCTAAAATTTATATTAAAATTGCAACTATCCTTTGGTAGAAAGTAGAAATAAATATTTAAAAAACTTTATTACAGTTAAAAAATATTAAAAATTTAATAAAAGAACCATTTTTGTAGGGTTTTCAAAATATATTAAATCTAAATCTAAATCTAAATATTTAATTGTAATTAAATTTCCCATCTAAGTAAGAAATTAGAATATATAATCAAACAAAATCCATCTCAGTAAAATTAAATGGCAAACAACCTGCAATTTCAATTTCCATTTCAAAATAATTCTTTCTTTATATATAATCCCTCATCTTGATGTGCATTTAATTCTACTTTTTTTTGGCTTATTTTACATGCTTCGAGAAAGTCCGATCTAGGGGAAGGTCGCCTTACATAGACATTGCCCCCGGAAGCCTGCTGCCCACGACTGCGAATTGTATCTTAATGGCTCATTGACTATCGGTAATTCGATTGGGGCTTGCTCTCCGCTCATCGGGAAGGCCTATTTATGGTACAAACAAATGCCGCTTGTTTTTGTGGTTATGTAATGCGAGATCGCGGTCTTGCCTCTGGCAGAGCTATGTATATATCTCCGCCAGCTGCTGCCTGCTCCTCCGCTGATCTCTGTCTCTGCCTCCGAATCCCCAGTCATACATATGTGGTGCACCACAGACAGCCTTCACCCACACACGTGCCTAATGGAGCATGATCAATTCTTTTTGTTTTGCTCAACAAACTGGGTTTTAGTTTTATGTGAATTTAACAGAGTTAATCGAGGAGAGGAATAATTCTTTAAAATAGAAATTATGAGTATTCAATAATGTAAGAAATATAAGCTGTCGTTTGGTTTTAAATATAATTATCAAAATAAAAATAAATACAAAATTGTTGAGCTATTTTTAAGACTGCTTTTTATTTGTTACAGTTTCGTTATTATAAATAATAAACTTCAGTTTATTTATTATAGTTCCTTTATTAATAATAATAAATGGTAATTGTATTTTTCTGGAGTGAATGTTGCTTTGTATTCTGATGAGCAATTCCATGGTTCTCTCCTGAAATCAAAGGTAACTTCAAAGCTTCTGATATACCAGGCTTTTGTCCATAGTTTATTTATAATATTCTCTTTATTATTTTATAAAATTAATCCTAATAGTAGGCAATGTAAATTAAATAAAATATTTCATAGCTCCAAATTCCAGTTAACCAAAAAACATTTATTTTTCTCGAATTATAAACAATAAGGTTGCATAGTTTTGGGCCCAAGTTGCAAGTTAAACAATTTAAGAGGCTTAAAAATAAACAAAAACACTGAGAATCCAGACACAAAGTAAACAAATTATTTGATTTTTATTATATTTTAGAATCCTCTTAAATATCTCGCTATAGTAAACATTTTACATGATATTTATTATATTTAAAAATCCCCTAAAATAACTCATTGTTGCCACAAAAACTGCAACGCTCCTCAAAGCTGGCTGTGATATGAATATAGTAAAACCACATTTCACGGCCACTTTGAAGACAGTTGCAGTCTTTACACCTTTTTAATAATTATAAAATATTTTAATATATTTAAATATTATAACCAAAAATAGTATATATATTTAATATATGAATTTATTTAACTTAAATAACCAGAAACCCCAAAAAACCCCAACTATTCACAAAACGCGCACCATTATTTTTCGTTTCATTTTTATTAGCGATATCACGTTGATGATTTTGGTTTTTTCTGGGCTTGCTTTTCGTATGCTGTATGTTTTATGTTATATATATAATATATATAGTTTGCTAGAAGTCAACTAAGCCGCGTATTATTATATGTATGTTTAGTAGTGTAACTCGTAGATTGCAAGTGGATCATAGATAGATAGAGAGAGGAATCATCATCATCGTCAGCATTGATCGTAAGCCTACTTAAGAGCTAACCACATATATATAGTGTTCATATATATATCGCATATAAACGTATACAAACTCCAGTTTGTCTGTGTATATAGTTTGGTTTTTCCGTATCAAAAAGCTGTATCAAAAAGGTTGTACAAAATGCTGGCTATCGGTTTTGGGTTTGCTGTTGCTGTTCTCAGTTTGATTTTGGGTTTTAGTCTGGCTAATAAGTCTATGTGAGTTGCTTCTGTTTATTGGTTCTGTTCTTCGGCTGCTGCTGGTCTAAACTTTTGGCTCGCAAACATTACTTTTCCTTGAAACCGCAGTCTTCCTAAAAAATAATAATAAAAAGGGGGCCCAACATAAAATCAATGTTCACAAAGTACATTTTATTGTTGATTTTTCTGGTTGTTTTCGGTTTTTTCTCTTGGGTTTTTCGCTTAATCAAGAAATGATAAAATTAATTAAGTAAAACTTTTCATAAAAATACAGTAAAATATATAAATATATATAAATTTATATATATATCGTAATAGATCGTTAAATCATTAAAAAAAAACTCAAGAATTCAGTTTAAAAATATATAAAGCATAATATGGTATTATAAATGTCGCGTTTGGAATATCCATAATATATATATTCGCTTCAAGAATTTAAATACAGTTACAAAATCGCGCCAAGAATTAAACAATAAATCACAAAACTTAAACTAAGCACACACATATACAAAACTAAGTCTAAAAATGTGTTTTGATGTTTCTTTTTATCATCATTATCTTTTATACTTTATCCTTCATTTATCTTTATACTTTTTATCAGTTTGAGGCTTACTTTTTAGGTTTTTTTTTTTAATGCTTAATCAGTTTTCTTGTTTCTTGTTTCATAATTTTTACTTAGAGCACAGTGGCTATCGCTATGTTTTTTTTAAAAAGCACATTTAAATATCATATATCATGTCATATTCATATCATATTCATATCATATTCATATCATATTATATCATATCGTAATCATGTGAAATGTATCAAAAATTGGCCTATTAACTACAGTTTACACTATATATCTCCTCGATTTACTCTCTCTCTATATATATAGTAGTTGCTATATATATATGTATGTGACTGTCTGTAGTATTAACGCATTTATATAAACATAATGATATCATTAAATCGCTGGCTCTCTATCAAATAATCCAAGTAGGCATAAATCTATATATATATTTATATTTTATATATATATCTGTGTAATCTTCTTAGTCGGTCAGCGTCTGGGCCACTAGAGCCAGCTGGTCCATGAGCACACGGAAAGCAGGACGCTCCTCGGGTCCATGTGACCAGCACAACTTCATGACCTAAAGGGGAATATCAAGAAAAATATATAAATAAAATATAAATTAAAGAAATAAATTTAAGAAAATAAAACTCACATCATAAATCTCCTTGGCACACGACTTTGGTTTCTCTAGAATAATACCGCGCTGCACACGCTCCACCACCTCGGTGTTCTTTAGGCGGCCATAGGGCATCTTGCCACAGGTGAAGATCTCCCACATGAGGACGCCTTTTTAAATATAAAAAATTAATTAATTAACATTTCAAATAACTTAAAATAAAGCAAACACTCACCATAAGCCCAAACATCACTCTTGGAGGAGAACCTCGTGTAATTGAGTACTTCCGGCGGTGCCCACTTGATGGGAAACTTGGTCCCGCCCGAGCTGGTGTACTGATCATCAAGAACATATCGCGCCAGGCCAAAGTCTGCCACTTTTACAACATTCTCGGAACCCACCAGACAATTGCGGGCCGCCAGATCGCGATGTATATAGTTGTGACGCTCCAGATAGGTCATGCCCTTGCTCACCTGGATGCACATGTCCAGGAGCAAGCCCATATTTCCTATGAGTGTCTTCTCATGCCGCCGCAAGTAGTTCAGCAAGGAGCCATGCTTCATGTACTCGGTGACAATGTAAATGGGTCGATGCTTGGAGCACACGCCATACAGCTGCACCAGATTCGGATGCTGCAGCTTGGTCATCACCTTGGCCTCCTCGATGAAATCATCCTCGGACATGGTGCCCTCCTTCATCATCTTGACGGCCGTATCGATTGAGCCGCGCCACTTGCCGCGCCTCACCACACCAAACTGACCCGAGCCGAGCTCCTCCATCAGCATCAGTTCCATGGGATGGATCTCCCATTTGTCGTGGGACAACCCAGCCGTTGGGGGCACCGGGCGATCGCAGGGCGAGGATTTGAGGCGACAGGCCAGGCCGCCAGAGTTGTGGCGATGATAGTTGATCAGATCGGGTATGGTTTCACAGCAATGCTTCTCGCTCAAATAGTACTCGCAGCGGGCATTCTGCTTGATGTGATAGTGCTTGACGTGCGATTGTGGACTGTGGGAGAGGATAAGGGAACAATAAATAATATAATTATATATTTTAAATGGGGTTTTTTCCCATACTTACACTTTGGTATGCAGCGATAGTGTGTAGAGACCCTTGGTCGATGACTTGCGCACCACAAAGCAGCCCTCCTTGTCGCCCTGCTTGAGCAGGGATTCGGCTCTCTGGCGCGACATGTCGCCCACATACCATCTAGAATTGGGAAATAAATAAAAAAAATAAATTAATATATATATATATATATAGTTAAAATATACCTTAAATAAGAAAGAAAACTATCTAGAGAAACCCAAAATTTGTATACCCTTGCAATTTGTCATAGGATCATGGTATCGTATCAAAAATCAATCATAAGTAAGCCAAAAAATCATCAAATTCCATTCGGAAAGCTTTTCTGTGCTAGTTTTTTCCAGGTTAACAAAACTGCATCCAAATTTTAAAATTTAAAAAAATCAAAATTTTAGGCCATGTTTGCAAATTTTAATGATGTAACCCCTTACATTTTTTTGCAAAAATGGCTAAAATATAAATTTCTTCCGAACAAAGCTAGAAAGAAGCGCCTTTTAATGCTGATCAAGAATATATATGGTTTATAGGGTCGGAAATGATTGCTTCACTTACTAAAATAATAAAAACCTTTAAGAAAACCGAAAATACATATATTTGAATTTTAAAAGTGAAGAATCAAAGTTGGAAAATCTATCTTAACTAAACCAAAAAATCATCAAATTTAAATCGAAAAACTTTTCTGTGTTAGTTTTTTCTTAGGTTAACAAATATGCATACTTAATTTTCACTATTATAAAACCCTTAAAGGAAAATTAACACGTTTTACTCACTCGTAACGCTCGAGACCCAGCAGCGCCTTGGGCTTGACATAGTTGCTGGGTATATAGCCGACATTACCTAGGCCATCTTTGACCTTCCACCAGTGCTCCTGGGAGTCATCGATTACCTCGTATTCGGCATTCTGTTTAAAAAAGAAAAACAATATAAAATAAATAAAATAAAAAAATATATAAATAATTAAAAACTTACCTTTTCCAGCGATAAATCGCCGCCTTCAATGGCCTTGAATGGATACAGGGCCACCACCAATTTCACAAAGTGTGAATTATCCTAAAAAATTTAATAGATAATAAATAAATTTAAAAATATATTTAAAATTAATAAATAAAGTAGACAACAGCCCACCTTGGCTTTGGAATTGGGGGTTCCTGGTGTGGGTATACCGCCCGGCATATTGGCATCCAATAGAGTTCCGTTGCCGTTCAATAAAGTTGGCGACTGCTTGAAAGTTGTCAGCGAGGACTACATCATGTTTTTCGTTTATTTTGGGAAAGTTTATTAAATTCAAGCCATGGTTTAATTAATTTTGATCACTCACCTGAGGCTGCAGCGATGTGGGCGTGCAACTGCCGCCACCACCTCCTCCACCTCCAACGCCGCCGCCGCCTAGGCCAAGGCTTCCGCCGCCTCCCACTCCCACTCCGCTGCCCACTACTATACCGCCGCCGAGACTGCCCGAGCTGTTGTGCTGCAGGCTGAACTGGCTGTTGGTCGTCGAGCTGTTGGGGCTGATGCTGCGCGTTGAATTCTGGGCTGGAGAACTGCCGTTGCCTGGAAAAAGGTACAAAAAAAGAAGTGTAATTAGTAATTAGTTACTAAATTACAACTTTGTGGTTTAAAAAGGCTTTAAATAAACTTAAATAATGAAAGAATTCAAGTTCGACGCCCAAGTGTTTGGTTTAAAATCTGAATCTTGAAAAACTATTCAAGTTTGTTGCCTAAGTCTTTTGTTTGGTGCTGGGAAAATGACTAGGAACTGCAGGAAACTTTATATTTTATTAAGATTTCAGTTATTTTAAACATCAAATTCGAAGAATTAGCTTTTTAACATGCAAATCGTATGCTTTATATTGTTTTTACTAGTGAAAGCGATTTATAAATAATATTTTTAATTTATAAAAATTAACTAAGCCAAAGATTTCTGCTAAGATAATTTCTATAATTTAAAAAAATTATTCAAAAATTGATGTCACTCGTAAAAACAATGTAAAAAAAATCTTTTTTATTTAGTTAATTTCTTAAAATATTTATAACTATTTACAAGCTGATTTAGTTTTCCCTTGCTGTTTATGTAAAACAAACATCTTAGTTTAATTTTAAATCTTTTAAACACACAAAAACCAATTTTATTTAAACATTTTTCAAGCCCCAGGGCTGTCCAATTAATTAGCCATCGACAGATATCGCAAAATCGCCTTATGTTACCCACTTTAGATGTCTACTTTGTGTTTTTTTGGTGGCTTGCGATTCTTGTCAAGGTAATAATTAATTAGACAACTGGCCAAGCGCTGCCGCTGCCGCTGACACTGAACATTGACAAGATTTTCAATGGTTCAAGGCACCTAGTCGCCCACAATTCGCAGATAAATCAAAGACATCGTCGGAAATCGGACATTGGAAAGCTCTTTTTGATGAGACGGACTTTGCTCGGTTTAAAGCGATTTCATCTTGGGGGTTTTCAAGTCAAATAATAACAATAATAATAAAAATAATAACGTTAGCTGGCAAAGTGAACTCCAAAGTGTAACCCCAATTAAAGAAAAAATACTCGTAAATAAAGATAAATAAATGAAACTTAAATGCCAGTCGAGTTTCGGCACTTGAGTGGGCGTCTCTTATGCAATAGCCCCTCAGCAAAGCAAGTGAGTCAACATCGGCGGCTGATACACATTTTCGTTGATTTTCGGATTTTTTTTTCTGTATTTTTGTGCCTTCCAAAATGCAAAGTGGATTTTTTGGTTGAGCGGTGAGGCGCCGGAGAAGTGCTTGAGGTAGGCGCCTCCGCTCGAGAATCGGAGGCAAGCAAGCTTCGTCTGCTTAAAACAAAAATAAAAACATCCATAGGAAAAAAACAAAAAAGTGAAGGTTAATCGCCAAGCGAAAGTGACTGCCTAAGGCTGAGACATTGGTGATTTCCCAAGTCGCTACGCCAAGCTATTTTTATACACAAATTGATACAAAATATTATGGCCAGATTGCCCTGCTATAGGCAGCCCCTCTCAATTGATAAGCCAATTTTCTTTATTTTCCCCCTCATCAATATCTAACATTTTTCATGTGAAAACTTGTACTAGTATCTCTACGGCACGCCTCCTTTGCCAAGCTCACGAGCCAGACGTGCCGGCAAACGTTGACAAAAGCCTCGAAGGCATCGAGAGTACAAGAGTCCGAGTACAAAGAGTACTCTGGTGCCCCTGCCTGCATTTGATGCCAGCAGATTGAAACTAAAATAGAAAGTTTTCCTTTTCTTTCCCAGCGAAACGCAGCATTCGCGCACTTGCCGGTTGTTAAGGCCGTGTTCAAGCTTTTGTTTGGCCATTTTCCATGCAAATGAAAAGCACTTGAAGCATTTTCCCGGCACGTATATACTTATAATAGCAACAACAAGAAAATTGCCATCTTTGATGTATAACTTCCTCAAGTTGCTTGTATTTTATGCCTGGCTTTGACTTTGACTTTAGGCTTTGAAAGATAATTTCATTTTTAAGCACCTTACATTTTTCCTTATTTGTTTACCAAAAAATATGATTATAAATATATAACTAAGATATTATTACAAATATAGAAAACCCTTAGTAAGTGTATTCAAAATTCCCCATTATTTTCTTCTTACATTTTTTAAATCATTTTCCAAACGGAAGTGCACATTTCTCATTTTATGCATTTTTTTTCGCAACATGAAAGCTCTCTTTCTCCCCATTAAATTAATCATAAATGGCGAGAGGAGATAGTAAAGTAAGCTAAAGTTATACCAACAGGTGCGTTGTTTCCAAGCCCACATTTTGCAATACATTTTGTCATTACCACCAAGCCAAGCCAGGTACAGGTATTTATGGCTAATTGTGTAATTGCGCTGCTTTTGTCTCTCTGCTCCGTTTTAACCCCTTTTTTTAGACGCCGTTTTCCCCTCTCATCTGCCTGAAACTACAACAATAACAACAATTTGTTATGCAAATTGCAATTCTTGTTATTGCTGTTAATGCAAAAGACTATTGTTATTGCAGCTGGGCTCAACCTCGAGTTGAGTTGGTGTGTTGTATGTGCTTTGTGGAAATCAAAAGCTGCCAAGACTTTCAAACACGTGTTTGCCGCTTTGTTCTCAACTCTTTTTAATGCCAAACAGGTGAAACTAATCGAAAACGCTTGGGCGATGACTCAAAAACGACTCTAAGGCTAAACAGTAAACGCCCACAAGTGTTACAAACAAGATCAGGGTCCCAAGACAAATGGAAATTATTAAGGAATGTTGTTGGTAACTAAGCATAAAGGTAGATTTCTTGTTTATTATATAAAGATATATATTTTTACTTATTATTTATTAAATATTTATGTATTACATTTTAAAGTTTCGAAGATACAAAGACAAAATCGATACACACAAGCTGCTTTTGCTTTTGAAACATACTTGCTTGCGTATTATCTTGCTTTTCGGAAGAGACTTTAACTGCTAGGCGCTGATCCTTTTGTAAACAAATCCTAATCCCAAAAAAACCACCTTTGTTATACTTTAAAACTCAAAATACTTTATAAAAACCAAAGCATGCTAAAAATGTCCATTAGCAAATTCTGATTCATCACAACAACACAAATACAAAATCTACACCCATCTATGTACATCTTCCACAGACAAAATTTATAATACAGAAGTCATTTAAATACATTTTCCCCCTCAAAACCCATTAAAACATATATTTATAGCCTAAGAGTTATTTAAGAAATAACAACCAGTCTTTTGAGTTTTAAGGAAAGACAAGAATCAGATTATTACCCAGCTTCAGTGCCGATAAAAGCATCATAGTGTTGCTTCCAGCGACTGTCTTCTGCTTTGGTGAAGACTCTCGGCGAAGACTCCACACTCTCTGGCGGTAATTGTGTCAATTCACTTTCACATAAATCGCTTTTTCGTTTTATTTTATTTTATTTATAAATAGTTGCTTTTGCTTGTTGCTGCTTTTTTGCAATTCTTTGAACTACAGTTTTCAGTTTGTTGGCGCAAACTGGTTTCTCGGTTGCTTCCTTTTTGCAATTTGTTGCAGTTGTTAAGGTGGTTGTTGCTGTTTTTTTTTTTTAATTTATCTTTATAGTTGAAGTTGTAGTTGTAGTTGCTTGCTTGCTGTTGACCTTTAAGCGTTCCCCATTCAGCGTGATGCTGAGCGGCTGTTACCGTTAAAAGCGCGGCCCTCAAGCGAATGCAACAAAACAACAACAAAAAATCAAAGCTTCCTGTGCTCAAGACTATAATTATTATTATTTTATTGCCAGTAGTTTTCCACTTTTTATTTATATTTTGCAATATCTAGTGTCTGTCTTCTTCTCTTTTGCTGCTTTCACGCAATGGCAGGTGGTGACGCCATCTTGAAAACATTTTCCATAGACAAGACTTGTCTATATTATTTTTTAATATTTTGGGCATAAGTTATATTATGATTTTAATTTTATTTTTTAGACACAAGTAAAACCACTAGTATTTAAGTTAAATTCATTAATTTCATTCTTCATCGAGTTAAGAAATAAAGCAGATTTTGTGCGCGACGCCAACTGTTTCAGTAAATGTTTAAAAGCCAACTGAAACTGAAATGGCAACTGAACATTTTTTTTCAGCAGCAGCAACCTGAGTTGAGACAAACAACAAAAGCAACAGCAACACGGAGGCCATAAGCATAAAGTAAAACTTAATTGTAGCACTGAAGAGCGGAGACTTGGCGAGTGGAGAGTGGAGCAGCGAGCCAAGAGAATGGAGAGCAGGCAGCAGCAGCAGAGGCAGCAGGCTCGATAAAAGCAGAAGCCGCCAAGCGAAACGACGGCAACTTGAGCAACATAAACAAGCACAGTGAATAAATTATAGGGAAATATTATAATTATATTATTAAATTTATTTAGAAAACTTTTGATAAGCCGCAGACTCTTCCGATAAAATTTCTAAATGGGTCTAGTTATAGGTAAGAGACATAATATAAATAGTATATATTTAATGCGAAAGTTGATGTATAAAACGATCTTTAATCGATATTCTGTGTGATGTATCGAAGCAATATAATTAGAAAATTAGAAGTGTTATTTATCGGTAATACCGATATTTTATTAACATATTTTTGGAATTTAAAAATGTTTAGTTTTCGATATTTTCGAATAATATAATAATAAAAATGTAATACATTTCTAAGTAAGCAAAGCATTTAATATAAAAAATAATACATAAATAATTAAATAATATTTAAAAAAATATTATGTTTTCTTTATTAAAAGCCTATTTAATTAAAATTTTTCTCACTGTGCTTAGCCACACACACTCTCCCATATATAGATATCCGATCAAGGTGCAGATTTTGAGTGCCTAGGGGTGCCTCTTCTTCTCCGTTTATTTCTTCAAGCTTGTGAAGCTGCAACTATGATTTTTTTTTTTTTTTTTTTTTGTATTTACCAAGCGATGCGCCCTCAACTGTAAACTGATTTCTTTGGCTGAATGTTAACGGAAAAGTTCCAGCAAATGCAACACACAGTCACAGTCACAGCCATTACGACAATTACATCAATGAAACGAAACAAAACTT